CCGCGTAGCATGATCAGCACTACTGTCCAACAAGCCTTCTATGAGGGGACTGTAATCCCAGTCTCGTGCCAAGAATTGTGGCACTGGAGAAATGATTCCACAAATCTCTGACTCGTAGTCACGTGTGATCTTGTTAGGGTTGTGCTGCCAAAATTTGACCAGGGCTGCCTGATCATCAACCCTGTGTTCTTTCATGTAAGGCAAGACCCATTTAAAGATAGACACAAGTGTTTGGGGTGTCCCGAGTATGACACCAGCGTTGAGGTACCGGAATTTGTTTTTCCGGGATGGTGCTTGTTGATCAACAAACTGTTTGGCTGCCATATCTGTTTTACAATATACTGTGTCACAGAGAGGTTCAGCACAAAGGATAGCCTTGTCAGCTTGTGGGGCAATCCTTTGGAATGCACTGGAGATTTGTTGTACAGGTGAGATAACAATGACATCCAATGAGTCTGAAAACATTAGGAGGGACTTGTTACCTCCATTGCGCTGAGCTTGTTGCGCCACTTGGAGGTATTGTTCCATGCGAACCTGCCATCGCAGGTACTCGGGTTGCCCATCCTTCCAGGCTTTCTTCCCTTTGTCTGCTCGGATGATGATAGGTGGTCGATAGCCATTGCGTAGTGCCGAATAGAAATAGTTTCGAAAGTTTCGATGCAATTGCAGATCTCTGGACCCGTCGAATTCCTCCTCATCAAAGGCAGAAAGCCTGAAAAGCGGGACCTCTCTTGGTGGTGACACCAAGTAGGTATAGAGTTGGATCGAATACTCTTCATCATCGTTGCCATGACTGTTGTAGTCATCTGGAAGAAGAAATGCTCGATGATGTGGTTTGGTGATGGCAGGAGAATCATCATTGAAGGCTCTCACGGCTTCCAAGAGGAAACGATTGTTCCCCGACCAACGAATGGATTGAAACATAACAGGCAACGCCAAGGCTGACAACCCAATAGTAGCCATCAGCCGTGGCAAAGACAGTTTCCATTTGGAAGCCTGCCAACGCACCCAAAACCCCATCCATAGCCAACGAAAGTGATTCCTATTCTCCTTTCGGTCGTCATTCGTAGCATGACTTTGATTGCCATTCATCATTCTCTTCACTTCTGTTCTTCTTCAAGGCTCCCATGAAATGTGGTACTGTGGCTGCTTGGCTTAATTTTCCCAGAAGCTTGCGTTGCCCCAATATTTGCGGTAGGATACCGCGACCGGTACTGGCCTCTTTAGGTCTCGTTCCTCGTAGAAGTCGTCTTCGGTAAGGTATCCCAGGACCGGTAGGGTGTTACAGTACGTACGGTGCTGGTGCCCCCTTCACGTCTCGAGCTCATTCTCATAAAGTCGTTACCGGTACTTCCCTCGCCTCCCCATTTCTCCAGTCCTGCTTGAAACACCTCGACCCCCTGCTTCGAAAGATTTAAGCTAGCCAATCTGATTTACCACCGTCTCGAAAAATGAGACGACGCCAAAAACGGCCGTTGCGGGAGGCAGATCAGTGACCTGACCGCAGATCCGTCGAGTTGTACTGTATGGCATACATGCATGTTCGACCGATACTTGAATGGAATGCAACTGCTTCAGAGACTATCGTGGGAATAGGGAAGTAGCATTATCAGTCTCGCCGTTGGTACCGGACCAAAGACTTGAAGCAGCAGGCAGTTATAGTTCGTAGAGCCCCCCATTTTGGCCTTTACAACGCTTGGATAAGCAAGCAGGTCAACAGCTATAGCTAGCTAGTGACAAGAAGAATGAGCTCAAAGCACAACATCAAGAACGTTCGTGCCTCTTCGGCAAGTATAGCACTATCAGAACTCTCTATATCTGCGGCATCTGCTGGCGTGGCAGAAGCACAAGACAAGATGGGTGAAGAGGGACGAGACAGAAACCACGACCGACGATCCGGCCAAGAAGATGATTCGGAAGACGCAACCGAACAGCAGGCTCTCTTATTGCAGGATGAACCACCAACGAACAGCTCCAGCCGCCAAGATGCCAGTGGAGACAACAACAACAACGACAACTCCAATGAAAGAAGCAGCCGCACGGACAACAGCTCTTCCTCTACGAGACCTAATACTCCCCGAACCTATAATCCAATCCGCTGGATTCTGTCTTACATGCAATGCATTGCCTTTACCGAAGAAGAAGATGATGAACAGAATCCTTTCAGCAAACGCAGACTTTGCTTTATTGTCTTTATTGCACTTCTTTCTATTGTCATCAACCTCATTGTCATTCCAGTGGTGCTGACTCGCATGGAACATTCCAGAAGCGACAGACAAACTCCTCCTCCCACCAGAGCTCCAACGACACAACTCACCAACACGTCGTCACCCACATTTGGACCGCTACCGACGCCTTCCCCCGTGCCCAACATTCCTGTTCCTATACCCAACAATGCGGCCGTGGCCATTGCCTTGCCTCCCTACACACTCGACGCACTCAATGATCCACAATCACCACAATTCAAAGCATTCCAGTGGCTTGCCGATGACCCCAACGTGGCCACCTATTCGTCGTTTCGAACCTTGCAACGAATGGCACTGGCTACCATTTTCTATGCCACCAATACCAACACCGACGAAGAGGAAATTGAATCCGCATCCAACAAGCAAGGCAAACTCCTACAGACAAGACAACAAGACAGCACACCCGAGACGGAAGCTCCAGACGGCTTTGATCCCGACGTCTTTGCTAATTTGTTTGATGGAGAAAGTCAGGAATTAGTACTCGTGTGGAAAGATGCCACTCATTGGTTGAGCTACACCATTCATGAATGCTTTTGGTATTCAGAGTCACCGTTTGTTTGTGACTCCCAACAATACTACCGATACCTGACATTGCCCGACAATAATCTGGTGGGCAGCATCCCGCCCGAAGTCGGTCTCCTCACGCGGCTGCAACAAATTCATCTCGGACACAATGAGGGGTTGTACGGAAGTATTCCCACGCATATTGCGTTCCTCACGCAATTGGAAGAATTGCGGTTGTCCCACTTGCCACAACTCACGGGGACACTGCCACATACCATTTCCCATTTGCACATGTACTTGCGACAAATCCAATTGCAAGAAACACCGCGATTTCTCAAACTATTATCAACCGACTTGGGCCGACTCACCCGTTTGCAAGACTTGCGATTGGAAACAAGAGATATTCGAGAATCGTCCTTTTTTGCCGCTATCAACAACAACCGGCCACCTCGTCCGCTCCCCACTGAAATGGGCAATCTACGAAACCTCCGCAACTTTACCATTTCGGGACAAGAATTGGCCGGAACCTTGCCAACGCAATTGGCCAAATTGACGCGATTGGAATGGTTGCACATTGTGTCGACTCAAATCACGGGGACTATTCCACGCGACTTTGGAGACATGATTAGTCTCACATCGTTGGAACTCACGCACAGCGGCCTACGCGGACGATTGCCCAAGGAACTCTCGCATTTGCGACGAACGCTCACCAAACTCAGTGTCAACAATCAAGCATTTACCGGGACGATTCCCTTTCAATTTTCCAATCTGACGTGGTGCACCACACAGAATTATCAACACAATCAGCTGTCGGGAACCGTGCCGCTGGGGATCTGTTATCTGCACAATAGTGGTATTCTCCAGACGCTGAGAGTGGATTGTCGACACGACCAGGTGCAGTGCAGCTGTGACTGTGAATGTTTCTAACTATTAGAATCATCATGCAATTCAGTGCAATGCAATGCAACTGACGGATCATCCAATCGAACATCGAAAAAGTGTCGCTTCCAGTATTGCATCTCGTCGGCCTAATAATCATGCAATACGGTGCAATGCAATGGCCGGATCATCCAATCGAATGCGACCAAAGTCCAGCGCTGTCGCCCGCCGCAGCCAGAGTTGGAGGCGGAACCCAGATTCGCGGCAGCAATCGGGGGTCCGAGAGCGAGGGGATTGGGCATGTGATGTAGCATAAATGACTAAATAGAGGGTTAAGGAGCGAGGGGAGCTAGACAGAGTAAGGCACCTGTGGTGGGAAATTGTAGGGAGAGGGCTGGCAGCTGGTGGGAGGGATGTGATGTAGTTGCTCTCTTGCTAGCTAGGAGGGTAGCGTTAGGTTGCACCAGAACCAGTTCTCGGCGAAGAATCACTGGTGGTGTGTGCGAAGCATGGCGTGCTGCCGCTTCCTAAGTGGCCTCGCCTCCGAGGGCCATCGACACCAACAAGCAAGCAATGACAAATATCAAGAAACAGGCATCCTGAGATACTGGTGCATACAGGTGCAGGCCACTGGGACCGGTACGGAACCGTAGTTGGCGGCCCGAGCTGTCAGGGAGGCTCTGATGGCTTGAGAACTTTCTAGACAAAAGATGGAAGACAACTGATTGGTCGAACTGATGTCAGTCCGCATCAGAACTCGTTCGGATCGCAATTTTGGATTGGCATTCTTCAAAGTGCGTGTGTTCGCTCAATCAGATCATTCCAAACTACTACTGTTGAAAGACACAACCAACAGCTGGTCCAGCCAGTGGATGGATGAATGATGGATCGGATGAAGCTCATGTATCCTAGAAGAATAGAACACAACAAGCAACAGCTATTTCGGTAGTACGCTCATCCAGTGCCACAGTAGAGCTACCGTAGAGCGCGCAAAGATCGTTCTATCTAGCTAGCTTCTAGTCTGCTAGCTACCCATCTTCCGCGTCCGCAATCGCCAATCTTCCTACAAGCTGAAGAATCGAATCCACCAATGGAGGCAACACATGTGCATACAAACATGAGTACTCCGAAAATGAAGAAAATGGCCACGATGAGCAACTCCAGCAGACAAAGCTGTACCAGTACACGGATGCCAGCATCTCTATGGATCGTATCCGCATTGCTGCTATTATCAGAACAAACTTCCACGTGTTGTGCCTTTCTTTCCAGAGTTCCTTTCTTCCATCAGCATTCCACTACTACGACCTTCTCTTCTCCAAGACCATCTTCCTTATTCCTCACACCTGCTCACATTGACAGTGCCGATCATGTTCTCAATACGTTTGCCCAACCCAATGCCATCATTTTGGATGTTCGGTCTCAACCAGAAATTGATTGCCAAGGACTGATACATACCCATCGACCATGGTTGCAGACAAGTTGTACACCCATGGAATGTCCCAGTCTATCAGGAGTGGCACGGACCATGTTTCCAGATAAGAATAGTAAGTAGTAGTGACTGAGAATTGACACAAAACTTGAGAATATGTGTGTTTATTCTCACACTCGCATCTCCTTATCACCTTCTAACAACCTTGCCCAGTCCCCATTATTGTCCACTGCTCTTCCGGAATGAGAGCTGCCAAGGCCAAGGAAGTACTCGAGACTATGGGATACACACAAGTCGTCAATGCGGGAGCTTTTGAAGACTTGGGGTATCTACAACTGGCGGCAGACAAGGCCATGTCAGCTGCAGGGGCGGAAGAAACAACAGCAGTGACTGCACCATCCATAGCATCGCGCAACAAGGAGCAACCAGAGCACACGACAACTGACCATACTACGAGCACTGTAGTAAAGCCTGCCAGAAGCACGGGCCAACAAAAGCCAAACTTGCCCATTGTGGATGCCGTTTGTGTGGAAACATCAACTACTGCAGCAGCACAAGACAATTATGGTCGTGGAAACACTGCAGGATCAAGCAATGACAATGAAGAGCCAAGCGAGGCGACAATTGTAGATGAGTCGTCTTCACCATTCGAATGGAGTCATCATCGCAAGAGCAATGCAGATTCGGAGGCCGCAGAAGTCTTATACTCCAGCATGAACGAGCAACAACAACATGACTCCCTTCCAGATGCTGTATACTCAAACTCCAAATTCAATCCAAACGGTTTCGCGCGAAGGGGTGAAAGGGTGAATCAAATGGAATCAATCATGGATTGGTCGGAAATTGCGGCAAAATCCAAGGCGGATGCCTCTTCTACATCATCAGTACCCTGGGACAATTGTTTCAATGAATTCGATGCAGCGAGCAGAAATTATGGTGTTCAGCAGCCAGCTCGAGTGGAAGAACCCGTTGATACGGGCTTCTTTTCAGACTCACTCCAACAGCCTTACTCCAATGGTGCCGACACAACAAACAACTGGAACTCTCCTGTTCAGGGACACCAGCAGCCATCCGCAGCTGGTAAACACAACATGGATCAGCCCATTAATTGGCAAATGGACCAGCCAGTCGATCCCACAGTCATCTTTGTCGACTCAAATCAACCAACTGACAGTTATTCCAATGGTGCAACCAACAGAAACGATCACTATCAGGAATGGCCCCAGCAGCCATCCACAGTGAATGGCTTTGGTAGACACATTGTGGAACCAGTTGATCCCACGGCCAACTTTAAGCATTCTTCTTTTCAATCCACTGATACTTATTCCAATGGTGACACGAGACATGACACTACCAGCTGGGACTCTCATGTTCAGGGACACCAACAGCCATCCGCAGCTGGTAGACACATGGATCAGCCCATGGATTGGCAAATGGACCAGCCAGTCGATCCCACAGTCATCTTTGTCGACTCAAATCAACCTACTGACAGTTATGCTAATGGTGCCCACACAACCAACAGAAACGATCACTTTTGGGGGCACCAGCAGCCATCAGCAGCGGATAGAAACATGGACCAGCCCATTGACTCTACAGTCAACTTTATGGATTCACTACAACCCAATACTTATGATGTGGTAACGCCGTCTCCCAATGGAGGAACCAACGCCCCGGATGACCCAAATGATTTCTTTTTTGAATCTCTAGAGCCATCCATATTTGACGAGTCCTATCACGGAGAACGGGATCTGGCAAGTGATAGGCCGAATTCACCGGATGATCCCGACCGTTTCTTTTATACGCCTCAGTCAGCAACAGCGAGTGGCAGCGGTTTCTGAGCCCTTGGGACGTCGCATATCATCATCATCAACAATCGATACCAAACTAGAACTAGAATGTATCTGTAATGGCTGCTGTAGCATTTCATGCATCACCTGCTTCAGTAGAGCTCCTACTACACAACTGTACGACAAGGGAGCATCGTGTCGTAAAGATCCCATATCTTAAAAGCAGGCGGGGGCGTCTCCTTGGCTAGCTAGTTGCTTATAAACAAGTGTTTGAACCATTGCTCCCAATCATCTCTCTGGGTCTGGTCGGTAAAATTTCTGAGCCTCACACTCCAACAACAATCCCCGGGCTCGACGACTACTCGTGCTCAAGAGCCATGTTTACGTCTTCAGTTGCCAGGACATCGGCAATGCAAGCATTGCGTTCTTCCACGTTGTCCAAGTGAACACAGACCTGCTGCGCCTCCGCTGCCGAGACACTTGATTCTCTGAGTCGACGGAGAAGGCGAGCCTCCTGGGTAACCGTTGGGATGGCCCCGTCGTACGAGTGGAATAACTGTGGCTCCTTGTTGTAGTTGCCATTCTTGGCCATATAGATTCACGTCGGGAATAGGAGTGGCGCAGTCTCTTGCTACTCGCTCGCCATCGTGGTACCGTCCCAGCAGACCAATGGCTCCGTGGTTGGCAGTACTAAACCACTACGATAATCTGCCCTGAGACATTGGCCAGCTAGCAGTGTAGGCGATCGTGCAATGGCTGGAAGAGAAGTTGCGACTCACAATCCGTTCGATCAGAGACCACTACTATGTCTCACCCACACCACCAGCATCTCCCTTGGAAGAACAAGTTTAAGTGAAAACGAACAATTTTGGAACGTAAAAGGCCAATCATGATACCTCCAGTTGCTCTGCACTGTGACTGATTGGATCGAATCGAATCACACTGTCGACCGAAATGGCTCCGCCCCAATGCCAATGCCAACAACAATACAATAATCTGAATCGAGTCGTCTTTGGAACCCAACCAGCCTTTGAGGTCGTCACTATGCATATCCTTAGCATTCGTCCACCCAACTACTAAGTTTCCTCCTCCTTCCCCCTCTCAAGGTTTCCAAGGGTAACTTTCCACGATGGACCAACCATACTATAATAGTAGATCTAGAATGGGGTGATCTTGCGGTACGACCCTGCCCTTTACGTGTAGCGTACCGGTACGTACTACTTGTACATGTACTCTGCCTGAGGTCTGAGCACGGTATCACATACTAGCTAGACTAGCGTAGCTCGTACTACATAGCTAGAGTAGTCTAGAGCAATAATTCTATTTGAAGAGTCATTGTGGCACAAGTAGTCACTAACTAACTAAATCTTCACCTACCCACTTCTCTCGAAAACTCCTACAATTGTTACTCGGGTAATATTACTCTCAGAGCCTCTATGTACCCAGTCCCGGTAACCCAGTCCCTTAAGTCCACCCAGTACCAGATATAGTTTCCGACCAGAGAAAGGTACAAAATCTATATAAGAAAACAGAAATTCCTGCCGAAGAACCACACCCACCAATAACAGCAGGAGTCGCATTCAGACCACAGCATTGTTACTCCAACGTACAGTCCAACTTGATAGTCCCTTAATTACTAACGAGCATTGTTACTCGAAACTCGCTCTCTAAGTCTGAAGCTTTTTCGGCATCGTGGAACCAATCAGCCTCATAATTTGCTTTTCAGTTCGATTTCGATTTCTGTTATCTCTGTTGATTCTGTTAACTCGACAATGGCGGCCACTGACGATGACGGATGGGTCTATCCGTACAAGAAGGCACATCAGAGCACAATCGTAGCCTTCATGTCCCATTTGCATGGCCAAGTGTACCCCAAGAACCAGATTTTCACGAAGGAACAGCTCCTTCCGATCACTCCCTCCAATGTGAAAGCATTCCTCAACTTTCGGGCCTACGGCAAAGATCATCCTGCGGAAGGAGACTTTCCTGTCCTCATGCGCTCAGGCTCTGTGGAGAAACTCAAGCAGAGCATCAGTTGGCACATGGTCAACAAGAATGTACCTTGGTTGGATGGCCGTGGAGGAAATCCAGCTCGCCATGTATCACTGAACGAAGTCATCAAAAAGATTGAACACCATGAGGCAAGAGATGAAGGAAAGGACGCCAATGACAAGCGTACGTACAACAACAATGAGTTCTACAAACTATTAGAGATGTTCAGGAGGAAGAACGACTTCAACCATCGGGACAAGTATTCGATGATGTCCCTTTGGAGCTACCATCTTATTCATCGGCTTGATGACACTTGTCATTTCAGAGTGGATGCTCCACATGGATCTATTGAACACCCGTTTGCAATCTACACCAAGACGCAGTACTCTAAGAATGTTCGCAGTATGAGAGATTGCCCAGATCAGATTCTACTTGGCGCTGATGAGTGGAAGATCTGTCCGCAGTTGAACCTTGCAGTCTACATGGACATGTGGCTGCGACTGAATCCTGACGCAGTTCATCTTTTTACAGATAACGACGATGCACAGAAAGGACCGCACAACTTGAACTAGCAATACAGTAACCGGATCAAAGCCACTGTGTGGAAGCATGACGAATTCAAGAACTTGGAAGACCAAGTCGGAAGAGCCAAGAAAGGGGTTGGAACTCATAGCATGATAAAATATGCTTCCACAAAAGCCTCCAAGAAGGGAGCTAATACCAGTATGATCGAGTATCGTGGACGCTGAGTTGGTGACAAGTCAGGGCGGGTGGTGGCTCTACGGTATGTGGACAAGACAGATCTCTACGCAGATGCTTTGTCGCTGGGCTGTTGTGTGATGGAGGTCCCATCAAGTGCCAGTGCACCAGGCACGGCTGAATATTGGAGATGAATTCCTCCACACCCATGTTGTCAGCCACATCAAGAAGAGGACTGATGACATCCGTTTGCTAAGAGTTCTTGGACTGGCAAAGCTCTGGGCTGCATTTGACGCAGATGCTAGTAGCCTCCTTGAACCTGACGAAGTGGCCTACATTCGTGGAGTCTTCACTGCACAGTATGGCGCATTTGAAGGAAACCCAGTCAAGAAAGTGGCTATTGAGATCTTTAACATTAATGGGGATCTTGATATTCGCGAGAGAGCTTTTGGTGGTGCAGGAAATGGCGGTGGCAATGGCGCCAACAATGGAGGCACTCCAGGAAACGGAAATGGTGGCCATGGTGGCAATGGCGGCCCTCCAGCTACAGGAGGGCATGGTGGCGGTCCAACCAACAATCAAGTTATCAGCTACTTGAAGGCTGTGGAACAAAATATGATGAACCAGTTCCTTCAACAACAAGCGAGAGAAGAGGCTCAGCGAGTGTGGCTACAGCAGCAGGTCAACCAGCTGCTTGTTAATCAGAGGAGATTTCGGCGCTACCATTCCACAAGCTTTCAGTCGACAAGATCCAAGGCAGAATGCAGCCCGTCGTGCTCATGCCGACAGAGTTAACGAACAGGACCAAGGCGAAATCATCGTCCACACTGAACGATTGCTGGTTGGGAACGATCCTACAGCCAGGCTGTGCAATCGTCCACGCTCATTGAATGAATTGTGGGCTGAATGGACTCATGGCATTGGCAACAACAAGCCAGCTAGTGCCTTCACCATGGCTGAACGCAACAACAAAGCAGCCAACATCAAGCAGACATTCTACAGAAGACGTGCTGTTTGGAGAGTTCAAGACTACTTGATCACTCGCTGCAACTACACAAGCCATGAGGCCAACGCGGAGATCCAGAACTGCTACAACAGCACTCTGGTCAGCAAGATCAACGACTTGATCCAAAAGGATGGCCGCAACTCTGCTTATCCAGTCATCGGCCAAATGCCTCGAAAGAAAATTTTTCACATCAATCCACGTCTTCATGATGCCACAAACTAACCAGCAGAGCCTCTGCTGGCTCCCTGGTTCATGGAGACTTAGAGAGCACTGAATCGGCGAGATGCCCAAGACCAGATGGAAGACCGATCAAGTAAGTGCTTTTCCTTCTTGTGTAGAGATGGTACCGGCCCTACAGAGTAACACTCACAGTCACTCCTTTTGACGTCTTCTGTTGAAGAACACCAATATTCTACACACATGCACATACTCTAGCTAGAGTACATGTAGCTCGCTCCAATACCGTACCGGTACTGTACCAATTGCCAAAAATGGAAAACTTACTCCGAGCGAGTACAGCGTGGCTGGGCCCTTGCTCTCCTCAACAGCTCCTCAAGCCACCGCTCATCGCTCTGCCCACTTGCCAATCGAGGATGTTGTTATTCACTTTCACTGCCTAATTGACCGGGAGAGAGCCTTTCCAACACCACATCTCTCTCTTTCTTCTACTTGACAATCCCTGTTTGTGGGCATATTGGAGTACACGTACCAGCACCTCGCGGTAAAAAGGCTTCTATGACCTTTTTCTCATTTTCTTCAGAGTAAAATTGGGAAAACGGTAAGTAGTGGCAGGCTCTCTAGGCAACGTCCCGTGCGTTATAATACAACTGTCTGAGGTATAAGACAACTGTCTGATGGCATAAGACCATTGTCTTATACCTCCTAATAGCCACCATAGCCCGTCAGACGAGTGTCTTAATGTCCGAGTACTTAGTTCAGACGATTTATGACACTGTTTGCCGAGTGCTGTCATAGACAGCGTCTGATCAGACGATTGTCTTTTATGCATAAGACGATTGTCTTAAGACGATTGTCTTATGCATAAGACCGGTGTCTTATGCATAAGACAATCGTCTGAAGCCAGGTTTCCGTGTGTTTCGGGTGAGTGGGCTATGCCCGCTCGCTTTGGAATGAATCCAAAGTTTTTAATTATTTTAGAATTAATCTTTTTTCCAATTTCCGTTCATTTACCTCGAGGTGCAGGTACGAACTGCCAAATGCTCCGTAGCAAATTGCCGTCCCATCATGTCTGTAGTGGAGTTCCACGGTCTGTTGCCACGATGCAAAGGGTCATCGAAGACACTTCCCTTATTCATAGTAGATTTAATGAATAGTTACAAAGTCATTTGGCAAGAGTAAGTACTTAAAACTTTAATTGCACCAACTTCTCCCAAGAACACCGATCTTCTCCGTCTGGTTAAATAGTGCCATCTTCAGCGTTCGTGCGGGGCAGTGGCCGGTTGCTTAGCCACCGAAATTGACCATTGACCCTCCGCTCTGCTCTCCGCACTCCGGACCGTTGCCAATAGCAATTGGAGAAAATTGGGACCTTGTCGACCACTCCCACAAAGCTTGACGACGAACCACATCTCTCTCGAACTCTCTCTGCGTATACTCGTCTTGACAATGGAAAAATCAAAAGCTTCTACCGAGAGCACTGATGATACCCTCAGTAGACGACGCGACCCCATGTTTGAAGCAGAAAAAGAGACCGTCGAACCCAGGAAGGACAAAAATGGGAGTGGTAGTAGTACTGATGGATCACCGCGTCAAGATCAGCTCCATGATTTGGATGCTGAAAAGGGCCAGAAGGGAGTACCCGATAATAATAATAAGCAATCTGGAACCCTGATCAGTTCTGTGGCTGCTTCGGAGGGAGCCATGGATTCTATTGTTGGCTCTATTGAACCTCTCCCAACAAGATTGCCGAGATTACCTTCAGAGCCAGGGGCATACGCCGAACGCCACGAGCGGATCAACACACCGCGATTTGGAGGGAATCAACTAAGTGAGCCACCTCGTCTAGACGTAGTAGACGAGGCCAATGTCTCTCCTGCCGGAACAGACGTGGAAAAAGGGCTGGTTGAGGCTACCCCCGTCGACTCCCCGATTATGGCAGCAGAGCCAGCAGAGCCTGTGGATCATGATAGGCAGCAAGGCAATGCGACACAGCAAGGTCCTAACAAATGGAATATGATTGGGTGCATTTCTGCTGCCATTATCACAGTTTTGCTGCTATTTGTTTTGATCATATTCCCGGCCAAAAACTCATCAGTGGAAACGCCTACCCCGTCCTCTAACACGACAATACTTGACGGAGAAGACGATAGCGTTGTGACCATTGTTTTGCCAAGTGGATTGCAGTTGAATCTTCCTCTGGAATTGACCAATAACACACTATGAATTCTGGAAAAAGATATGTATGGAACATCACCCCAAGTCAGAGCCTACAAGTGGGCCCAGAACGATCCTTGGCTAGGGAACTACTCGGAAGAGCAACTGCAACAACGTTTTTCCCTCGCAACGGTTTACTACGCCACAAATCGTAATACCAGTTGGAACCACGTAGGAGGCGGGACGGTGTCAGCTCTGTACCGCAACTCGACCATTGAAAAGAAGATTGAAGAAGAAGAAGTCACGTCACCGCCTTCGTTTGATGCTGGCAATGGACCACCACCACCAGGGGGTCTGCCTCCTGGATTAGAAAGAGTCAATGTCACTTCCAAAGCATGGCTTTCTTATGATAATGAATGTGACTGGTTTTCATCTGCTTTTCGAGCTACTGGAACCACCATCTGTGATGAGCATGGCGCAATGCAAACTCTATCACTCAAGAGCAATGGGCTATCGGCTCGAATCCCCGAAGAGATTGGAATGCTGACCAACTTGCAATCCATACATTTGTGGAAGAACCAACTGGATGGTCCTATCGTCTCTCAATTTGGAGCCATGACCAACCTAATGCAACTCAACTTGGGCGACAACGCCCTCAGTGGAACCATCCCACTGGAAATTGGCAAATTGTCTAATTCACTCAGGTACTTTGCGGTTGGTGGTAACCCTCTTACTGGGAGCCTGCCACAAGAGCTTTGGCACTTATCCAAAATGGTGATTCTGCATGTTTCTCATACAGAAATCACTGGCAGCTTACCACTCAATTTGGCCAATCACATGCCAGATTTGAAGGTGCTGGTACTGCGCCACAATCGGCTCTCGGGGCGACTTCCCACATCACTGCCGACTGCGTTGGTTGCCTTGCGTGCCCGGGACAATGCACTCACTGGTTCGATCCCGTCTGAGTTTGGATTACTGGGGTCTTCCTTGACAAAGATATTGCTCAGTGGAAACCAACTTTCAGGAACGCTTGCAACAGAACTCGGGTTGCTATCCACTCTGTTTGAGCTTTCTTTGGACGGCAATGAACAGATATCGGGCCCTCTCCCATCAGAGCTTGGTTTGTTGAATAGCACCTTGCAAACTCTGAAGCTGGAGGGGACTTTGATCACTGGAAGCATTCCAAGTGAACTTTGTGGCATCCAGAGGCTAACATTTGACTGTTCTTCAGAGAGACTTTGTGGCTGTGATTGTCCATGTGCACAACTTTGAGGAGGCTGGCAGCAAACGTCATTGAAAAACTGCAAATTGGTCAGCGCCTGGGATTGATACTACAATGCTGACCCTTTGGGCTGCAACTTGGTAGATACTAGCTAGCTACTTTGTACACTGGTACTGCTCCACGCTTTCACACTTGCATCTGCTCGCCGCTTACCACAAAGAGGATTTAACGCCACTGGCTCCAATGATAGACTGCGATAGCGAATGCAAAGGGCAGCCCGAACAACGGCTGGTATCGAGTGGAACAGCAACGACCGAGTAACCTTTAGCACCAGGCGTCGCCTTCTCCTTCTTCTTTTGGAATGCTCTCCGTAATCAGAATCACTTGTCTCGTGGCAGTTTTTTTGATTCTGCTGATTCAAGTGCACTTTAAAATAGTCGACAAGGCCTTCCAGACTACCGATTGCCAGAAGGAGGAAAAGTCGTTGGCGATTACGAGAACCGTCTATCGCAATATTACACGAAGAGTCCGAGCTCAAGCGATCTTCCAAACGATTATCAAGAAGGCCACGCTGCCGCCCAAAATCGTCTACGTGACGCTCAACTTTACTAAGATTGAGTATCGCGATCCGATATATGGGCACTGCGTGGGATGACGAGAATCATGACGATCCTCCCTTCCAAGGTAGACGACGGCTGCAACGCGAGTTCCTCTCTGTCACAGAACTTTGTATGGTTCTAATCTACGTGCACTTGATTCCAGGAACAGGAGCAGCCACTATTCAACAACCTTTTGCCCGAAGTCCAGATTGGCACTATTATCAACATGGCGACGAGCAACCGTGACAAGCCCGGCAACCAGATATTCTACGAACAATCATCAGAATGGGGATACACAGATTGGAAGACTCAAGATACCCTGCACCATTGGAGGGCGATGGCAAAGATTCGTAATATCCGATTCTTTGTCTTGCCATTGTTCGGAAGCCAGCTGACTCTGTCACTGCTCGTTTCCATTAACATCCCAACACTTGGCAGCAACCTGCACCGGTCGCCCCAGATGACGTCTAACCCAATCCGCACTGTCCGTTTTCCATCCAGCCTCAAAGCGCAAGGAAGGTAATCAGCGCGGTGTCGCTCCACCCAACGACAAACAATATCACGCTGTCACTGTCTACAATGCCTTGTGGAAGACCTTGATTTGATTGGGACTGCGGGCAAGTTGAGCCAAGAAACTCTTCCCCTGCTCCACCTTTGCTTTACAGGCAGAGCTGCTCAGGACCCTCGCTGCCATGCGCATGCCGGCAATATCACTCAGCTAACTTGACAAGCACATCCACCAGAAGATTCTGCAGACTTTCCAATAACAATGTGGAGGAACATTCCTTCGACACAGTGATCCGATCCGTCGACGTACTACATGGAAGAGAACGATAGATACAGCAAGAGCTAAGATCGATAATCCGTCGTTCTTTGCGGTATTCAGCCGCTCTTTGCTACTTGGGTGGCGTGTACCGTAGATGGCATGGCAATGAGCGAGTACTACAAGACCGCTACACTGTATGATAGCTAGTTCGGCGCTAAACGAACAGTATCCAAGCCGAAGGAGCCGGCGTGAATTCTGCAACCAGACGTTACATGGGAATCGAATACAGTAGTTTCCAATGTGCCGTACCGGTACCATCAACCTCTGCCCAATGCATAAATCTTGGCTCCATTGACTTATAGGGGGGGTTAGGCAGCAGCACGGGGGAGGGAAAAAGAAGAAGAAAGGGAGAGGGTTATGCGTTGGATTCCCAATTCCCGATCTGCGAGCCTGGCACTCCAACCAATCGTGCCAACGAACACGAAGAAATCAAAACTACTTATGGTAATGAGGGGAAACTGCAATGACTGGTTGCGACAATACCATTGTGCATTGATTAATCTAGGGATCTAAGAGATGTAAAGTTTGTATTTCCAAATAAGTGAGCAGTTATTGATTATTTTCTAGAATAAGCTGCAATTGTAAAGCTGTAAGCTGAATTGTAAGCTGTATCCGTCGCACTCCCTACAGCTGAAATGAAGCTGTAGCAAAAACGATAGGAGAGAGCCCCCAGCAAAGTGCTGAGGTAAATTACCATCCCATGAGGAGCTTTCGAATGACAGCAAACTGTGAGCCGGAAGACCCTTAGGAAAATGCGGCCCGTTGTTCCAGAGTCGGAATATACTTAGCCA